TGCCTGTAACCCCAGCTACTCAAGAGGCTGAGGCAGGAGAATAGCTTGAACTCAGGGAGAGGAAGTTGCAGTGAGCTGAAATTGTGTCACATGCTGGTCAACAGAGCAAGACTCCATCTCAAAAAAAAAAAAAAAGAAAGAAATTTTGATAAATTGACCTGCACCAAACTTAAATACATTGCTCTGTGAAAAACACTATTTAAAAATGAAAAGACAAGGCACACAGTAGGCAAAAATAATTGCATATCACAGGATACACAATTTGTATCAAAAATACATAAAATTTCTTAGAATTCAACCAAATTAATGTACAAAAGATCTGGACAGACATTTCATCAAAGAAGACACAGATGGCAAATAAGCACATGAAAAAGTGCTCAATACCATTAGTCACTAAAACTGTAAGATACCACTCTACACCTAAAAGAAGGCCTACTATTTAAAATGACTGATACTACCATGTACCGGCAAAGATGTAGAGTGAAGTAACCAAAAGTCAAATAAATTCATGATGGCAATGGAAAATGGTATAATCACTTTGGAAAACAGTTGGGCGATTTCTTAAAAAATTAAATGTGTATTTATCATAAAACCCATTAAGTACATTCTGAACTACTTATTTATCCAAAAGAAATAAAAGCAGTCATTCATAAAAAGATTTTTTTTTTTGGAGATGGAGTTTTGACTCTTGTTGCCCAGGATGGAGTGCAATGGCACAATCTCAGATCACCGCCACCTCTGCCTCCAGGGTTCAAGCAATTCTCCTGCCTCAGCCTCCTGAATAGCTGGGATTACAGGCATGCACCACCACATGCAGTTAAGTTTTGTATTTTTAGCAGAGACGGGGTTTCTCCATGTTGGTCATGCGGGTCTCGAACTCCCGACCTTAGGTGATCCACCCACCTAGGCCTCCCAAAGTGCTGGGAATACAAGTGGAGCCACTGTGCCTGGCCTCTAATATAAAGACTTCTACAAAAATGTTCACAGCAGCTTTGCTCATAATAGCCAAAACCTGGAAATAATTGTCTATCAACAGGTTAACAAATAAATTGTTATCCCTCATACAGTGGACTACTGGCCAAATCAGAAGAAACAAAGATGCAACAGCATGGATAAATCTTGAAATAATCATGCTGAGTAAAAGAAGTTAGACAGAAAAGAGTACATATTGTAGGATCCCATTTCTATCAAATTCTAAAGGACACAATCTACTGAATAGTGACACAAGGCAGCTGAATCTACCTGACGATGGAAGAGGAAAGGTTGGATGGTTACAAAGTGGCATGAGACAAATGCGTTGTCACCTGTGAATATTCTTTATTCCAAATGTATTAATTATTTTCATTGTGGTGATGATATATTCATATTATCAAAGCTTATCAAACTGTACACTTTAAACACTAGTTTACTATCAATTATACCTCACTAAAGTGACTAAAAAAGAAGCCCACCACGCTTTCTTTTGAAATCAGGAAAGATGTTCTTAAGTTCCTACAGAAAAAACAATAAACAAGTGAGACGAGTCAGGAGGATCCTAAAAAAAAGGCCCCCAACAGAACAAAAAGAGAAACTGTTGAGACACAGTTTTAATAACTGGTGTCTTAATAACATGATAAAGTTACATAGCATTCTAAATTATAATAATACTACATGATCCAACAGAGATCAATGATATAAACTAGTAAGTCCAGAAAAAAATACAGATATATAAAGAATAAATTAATATACTACAGACTAGGCACAGTGCCTCATGCCTGTAATCCCAGCACTTTGAAAGACTAAGGCAGGAGGATTCCTTAAGCCCAGGAATTAAAGACCAGCCTAGGCAACATGGAAAGATCCCCATCTGAACAAAACTTTAAACATTAGCCAGGTATGGTGGTATACATTTGTGGTCCAAGCTACTCAGGAAGCTGAGGCAGGAGGATCTCTTAAGCCTAGGAGTTTGAGACCAGTCTAGTCAATATAAAAAGACTGTACAAAAAAAAAATTCGAATTAGCTGGGTGTAGTGATGTATGATTATATTTGTAGCTACGTGGGAGGCTTAGATATGCAAGGCTGAGGCTACAGGGAGCTGTGACCACACCAGCACTCGAACCTGGCTAACAGAACCAGATCCTGCCTCAAAATGAAACAAAAAGAACAATCATCCAAAACTCCATGTGGCTGTTACAATCCACAAAAATGACCCAATTTTAAAACTTACAAATCGATTGTATGAAAAAAAAAAATGTGATCCAAGTCTTATTTCAAGGTTGTTCACTGTGGAGTTCTGAGTGCACTGACCACACTCCAGCATAAACGGATCGCACACACAAATGGAAACACGCAGAAAGATACACGCAGACACACATATACACATACACACACAAACACAGACACACACACACGAAAAAAAAGAAAGACACATAGAGATATCTGACAGTCACAGACAGCTCCTGAGGCTGCAGGGTCCTTCTCTGCCGAGAAACCCCTCGAGAAGAGAGAAGCCCCGCGGCACACAGGCTGCTGGTACCTGGAAATCCCAAAAGGGTCAACTTTCAAGGAGACGCACCCCCGCACGACGTCTGAGCAGGCCGGAGGCATCGCGGGGATCCTTGGGGATCGCCCTGGGTATCCCTGAAGCTCCGCTGCAGCTTTTCTCCGCCTGGTTCCGCCCGGCCGGACAACTAAAATCGCTGGACCTTGGCGATCATCCCCGGGAGAGCAAGGAGCCCTTCGACCAACGCCGGGCTACTACCACGGAGGGCCCGTGCCCTGCCAAGACGCTGAGACGGCGGTTCCCATGGCCACGGGGGCGGTCACTGTGACGCGATCCCCGGGTGGGCGCTTGCGCCCTTGACACGCCGGTTGCGCATGCGCATCGGTGTGCCCGGCTGGCCAGCCGCAATGTCCGCGCTCCCCCACCGGCCGGCCGCAGTGGCGCGGGAAAATGCTGGCGGCGGTGTCCCAGGCGGCCCCTGGGAGGGAGCCTGCGTGCCACTGGCAGTGCAGGACCCGTCCGTCGTGACTCCACTGGCTCCCTGAACCGACTTTCCTTTTCCGGTCCGCTGAAGGGGTAGGGCGCTTCAGACCTCCACTCCAGGTGGGCATTCGGGACTGCTCTCCCCAGGAGATTCCGGATCCGACGGCCTGGGCAGGGATCGGGTCCCACCGGGCTGGAGATTCAGTCTGGTGAGTTGTGACGGGGGTCGCTGCACCCCGAAAGATACCGGAGACCCTCCCGGAGGGTGCCGGAGAACTTTCCGCAGCTCCCTGAGCTCACTGCCTCCCCTTCGACCTAGGCCACCCACCAAGGGGCCCTACCTTGCTCTCCAAGCCCAGGGACCCGTGCTTCTCCTCACTGCGGTCCAGAGAAGGGGAGGAAGAAAAACAGAGCGGTGGCGAGCGCAGCCTGCAGCAGAGGAGGCAACAGCTGCATCCGGCCTCCCCTGGGGGCAGATCCGGTGGAGACAGCTTTATCAGAAGCTTTCTGGGGTGGAGCCAAATCCCGAGACGGATGTCCAGGCATGCCACTGAGGACTCCCACGAAAGCCAAGCACAACACGCTAACGGATCTTAGTCACTTTATTGTTTTGACAGAAAACATCATCATCTGGTTACCAAGTGTTTCGATCAAATTGCTCTGATGGCCTGTGCTAGGATACCGACGGTCAACCTGTCCTGTCGAAAGAAAATGAATTCCCGGTGTTAGAAATGCAGATTGTCACTCTCAGGGAAACCTAAGTCCAGAGTGGAACCGTGTGTGGGAGGTTAATCAGTGGATGAAATGTGTTTCTGAAGGGCGGTTTGCACTAAATCCTATGGTAACGAAGGTCCTACCCTGCCATTTGGTTTTCCATGTGTGCTGTGATGAGCAAATCATAAAGATGGAACCCTCATCCCCTCCACAGGAGCTTTTAACATCCACCTTACCTGACAGTAGTCTCCTGGTCTCCAGTCCCCTTGCAAGTTGCACATTCAGATCTCCAGTCTTCAGCCTGGTTCTTCTTTTGCCATGCAGACCGTCTTTGTCTTCTCTCTCTAGGAACTCCTTCCTGCCACACAAGGGCTGATAAAAGAAAACACGATAAGGATATAAGTGAAACAGTTTCCGAAGGAAAACTTGTCAAAGGTAAGGCTGTGGGGTAACTTCTTCCAACCTCACGTTTTCCTCTCTGAGGAACGAAGCTGTTTTCCTCCTCTGGTTCTCTGGGGAAACAAGAACAACAACAATGGCAACATCCAAACTCCAGACCATATCGAGTCTTTGCTTAAGAAAAAGATAAGTTTCCTTCATCAAACATGGTGACTTAAGTTAAGCTCTTGAAAAATTATCTATGTCTCATTCATACTTTATGGGACCACTACATTTTGTGACCACTGATGCCATGGGAAAGGAAAAGTAACAAATTCAGTGTACTTTATATGTACCTTCATAAATGTCCATGATTAGGATTGACTCAGAGCGTGTCAGCTTTCCTAACTTGTCAGGTGTGGCTTCTATAGGTGGAGTGCTATGCCAGGGATCGTCCTACACACTGTTTACCCACAGCTAGGCAGGAAAGAGAGAATTCTTTAGCAGCAGAAGAAGAGCAGAAGGAAAAGGTGTCACAGCTCCTAAGTCCTACTGAAGGTAAAAGCACTTAGAATGCCATAGAAAAAAATCCCCGTAAAGTCACTCACCTAAAATTCACATCGTGTACTTGAGATTGCATTGACCACTTCAAAGAAGGCATAGAGATGTTTAAAGGAACCGTAAGTACCTGAGTATTTTGCAGCCAATCTGTTAACAATCTTCACAAATAACAGCAGAGCCTCTGTGTAGATGTTGCCATGCACACATGCAGACCGCCGTTCATCAGAGACTGGAAGAGAAAGCAGGGACTGCTCCCCAGAATTACTTGGACAGCTGAGATCAAGGATCATTCCCAAGTTAGGGTAGGTACTAAATGGGTCTCAACACAATGACACGATACTATATGTCTATTAATGTTTTCTTACCTTATTGTCATTTCAGTTCTTCCTGATACCAAGCCCACGGTGATTTCATCCATAGCTCACTGCAGACCATTCTGTCTATCCCTACATAAGCAAAGAGTCCACTAAATGAGTCATGTGAGAAAAGACAATTCAGGAACTACCTCTCTGTTTCCATCTGCCTTGCCAATCAGTGTGTTGGAATTATCTTCCCAAGGAAATCAGGAAGAAAAGCGAAGGCTATATCTAGAAGAGGCCTTTAAATGCAGACCCTACATCTCCAATAATGACTTCCAGAAAACAACAGTGAGACTTGCTCCTGGAAATACCAATCACGACCCATAAGCACTGGTGTCCCCTGAGGGCCTACTCGAAATACAGAATCTCAGGCTCACTCTGACACTAGAATGACAATCTGTTTTCTTGACAAGAATCCTCAGGAGGATCCCTAACAACAGTGTAGTCCCTGAAGGGGTCATGAGGACAATACCACGCCTACAGGTACCGCAGGACCAAGGGCCCATGGAAGAGTTTGGATTTCGGCTTGCTGTGCTGGTCTTCTTTCTGCAGGAGTGACCCCCCTCGGGATGGTCAGGTGATTAAAAGGCCTGGGGGTGGGAGCCAGACCTCCACTACCCTAAGGCTTCAGAAACCAGGAGCACCACACAGAAGGCGGGGCCCACAGCCCAGAAGCTAGCCGAGGACACACGTGCACCAGCAGGAAGACAGACTGCAGAGAAACCGCGCTGTGGTGCACTGGCCACACATACGTCCGGCATACACGGCTCTCCCACACAAATGTAAACACGATGAAAGATACAGACACACCTATACAGACACACACAGGTATGCACGCACACGCAGACACACACACAAACAGAAAGAAAGGCAAGCGGAGACATCCGACAGTCGCAGGCAGCTGCTGAGGCTGCAGGGTCCTGCTCTCTGTTGGGAAGCACCTGGGGGAGAGAGCAGCCCCGAGGCACACAGGCGGCTGGAACCTGGAAATCGCAGCAGGGTCAGTTTTCAAGGAGAGGCACCTTCTCCCCAGGACGTCTGAGCAGGCCTGAAGCATCGCAGGGATCCTTGGGGCTCGCCCTGGGCATCCCTGAAGCTCCGCTGCAGCTTTTCTCCGCCTACCTCCCCCCTGCCCAACGACTGAAATCGCTGGACTCTGGCGATCATCCCCGGGAGAGGCGGGGGGGCTTCAACCAACGCCGAGCCACGGCCACGTAGGGCCTGTGCCTTGCCAAGCCGCTGAGACGGCGGTTCCCCTGGCCACGGGGGCGGTCACTGTGACGCGATCCCCGGGTGGGCGCTCGCGCTTGTGACACGCCGCTTGCGCATGCGCATCGGTGTGCTCGGCTGGCCAGCCGCGATGTCCGTGCTCCCCCACCGGCCGGCCGCAGCTGCGCGGGAAAATGCCGTCGGCGTTGTCCGAGGCGGCCCCTGGGAGGGAGCCTGGGTGCCACTGGCAGTGCAGGAGCCCGATCGTCGTGACTCCACTGGCTTCCTGAACCGACTTTCCTTTTCCGGTCAGCTGAATGGGGAGGGCGCTTCAGACCTCCACTCCAGGTGGGCATTCGGGACTGCTCTCCCCAGGAGATTCCGGATCCGACGGCCTGGGCAGGGATCGGGTCCCACCGGGCTGGAGATTCAGTCTGGTGAGTTGTGGTGGGGGTCGCTGGACCCCAGAAAGCTACCGGAGACCCTCCGGGAGGGTGCCGGCGAACGTTCCGCAGCTCCCTGAGCTCACTGCCTCCCCTTCCACCTGGGCCACCCACCAAGGGGCCCTACCTTGCCCTCCAAGCCCAGGGACCCGTGCTTCTCCTCACTGCGGTCCAGAGAAGGGGAGGAAGAAAAACAGAGCGGTGGTGAGCGCAGCCTGCAGCAGAGGAGGCAACAGCTGCATCCGGCCTCCCCTGGGGGCAGATCCGGTGGAGACAGCTTCTCAGAAGCTTTCTGGGGTGAAGCCAAATCCCGAGACGGATGTCCAGGCATGCCACTGAGGACTCCCATGAAAGCCAAGCACAACACGCTAACGGATCTTAGTCACTTTATTGTTTTGACAGAAAACATCATCATCTGGTTACCAAGTGTTTCGATCAAATTGCTCTGATGGCCTATGCACGGAGACCGACGGTCAACCTGTCCTGTCGAGAGAAAATGAATTCCCAGTGTTAGAAATGCAGATTCTCACTCTCAGGGAAACCTAAGTCCAGAGTGGAACCGTGTGTGGGAGGTTAATCAGTGGATGAAATGTGTTTCTGAAGGGCGGTTTGCACTAAATCCTATGGTAACGAAGGTCCTACCCTGCCATTTGGTTTTCCATGTGTGCTGTGATGAGCAAATCATAAAGATGGAACCCTCATCCCCTCCACAGGAGCTTTTAACATCCACCTTACCTGACAGTAGTCTCCTGGTCTCCAGTCCCCTTGCAAGTTGCACATTCAGATCTCCAGTCTTCAGCCTGGTTCTTCTTTTGCCATGCAGACCGTCTTTGTCTTCTCTCTCTAGGTACTTCTTCCTGCCATACAAGGCCTGGTAAAAGAAAACACAGTAAGGATATAAGGGAAACAATTTTCCGAAGGAAAACTTCTCAAAGGTAAGGCTGTGGAAAAGTGCGTAACTTCTTCAAGCCTCACGTTTTCCTCCCTCAGGAACGAAGCTCTGTTTTCCTCCTCTGGTTCTCTGGGGAAACGAGAACAACAACAATGACAACATCCAAGCTCCAGACCACATTGAGTCTTTGCTTAAGGAAAAGATAAGTTTCCTCCGGCAAACCTGTTTACTTAAGTTAGGCTCTTGAGAAATTATCTACGTCTCATTCATACTTTATGGGACCACTAAATTTTGTGACCACTGATGCCATGGGAAAAGAAAAGTAACAAATTCAGTGTACTTTATATGTACCTTCATAAATGTCCGTGATTACGATTGACTCAGAGCGTGTCAGTTTTCCTAACTTGTCAGGTGTGGCTTCTATAGGTGGAGTGCTATGCCTCGGATCGTCCTACACACTGTTTACCCACAGGTAGGCAGGAAAGAGAGAATTCTTTAGCAGCAGAAGAAGAGCAGAAGGAAAAGTTGTCACAGCTCCTAAGTCCTACTGAAGGTAAAAGCACTTAGAATGCCATAGAAAAAAATCCCCGTAAAGTCACTCACCTAAAATTCACATCGTGTAGTTCAGATTGCATTGACCACTTCAAAGAAGGCATAAAGATGTTTAAAGGAACCGTAAGTACCTGAGTATTTTGCAGCCAATCTGTTAACAATCTTCACAAATAACAGCAGAGCCTCTGTGTAGATGTTGCCATGCACACATGCAGACCGCCGTTCATCAGAGACTGGAAGAGAAAGCGGGGACTGCTCCCCAGAATTACTTGGACAGCTGAGATCAAGGATCATTCTTAAGCTAGAGTAGGTACTAAGTCGGTCTCAACACAATGACACGATACTATATGTCTATTAATGTTTTCTTACCTCATTGTCATTTCAGTTCTTTCTGATACCAAGCCCACCGTGATTTCATCCATGGCTAACTGCAGACCATTTTATCCCTACATAAGCAAAGAGTCCACTAAACGCGTCATTTGAATTAGGAATAAAAGTGAAGGCCATATTTAGAAGAGGCCTTTAAATGCAGACCCTACATCTTCAATAAGGACTTCCAGAAAACAACAGTGAGACTTGCTCCTGGCAATACCAATCATGACCCATAAGCACTGGTGTCCCCTGAAGGCCTATTTTAAATACAGAATCTCAGGCTCACTCTGACACAGGAATGACAATCTGTTTTCTTGACAAGAATACTGAGGGTGATCCCTAACAACAGTGTAGTCCCTGAAGGGGTCATGAGGACAATGCCACCTCTACAGGTACCGCAGGACCATGGGCCCATGGAAGAGTTTGGTTTTCGGCGTGCTGTGCTGGTCTTCTTTCTGCAGGAGTGACGCCCCTCAGGATGGTCAGGTGATTAGGAGGCCTGGGGTTGGGAGCCAGACCTCCACTACCCTAAGGCTTCAGAAACCAGGAACAACACACAGAAGGCGGGGCCCACAGCCCCTTAGCTACCCGAGGACACACTTGCACCAGCAGGTAGACAGGCTGTAGACAAAACATGGTGGTGTGCAGTGGCCACACTTACGTCCAGCATACACGGCTCGCACACCCAAATGTAAACACACAGAAATATACACACGGATCCACATATACAGACACACGTACACAGAAAGAAAGACACGCGGCGACATCCGATATTCGCAGGCAGCTCCTGAGGCTGCAGGGTCTTGCTGTTTGCCGGGAAGACACTCTTTGCTTTATTTTATGCAAAGAATTGGACCAGGTATAATAAGACTAAAGACATAGAAAGTTCCCTTTTTTTTTTTTTTTTTTTTTTGATACAGAGCTTTGCTCTGTCACCCAGGTCTGTCATCCAGGCTCAGTGACCCATAGAGAGGTCTCAGCTCACCACAACCTTCCCCTCCTGGGTTTAGGTTATTCTCCTGCCTCAGCCTCCCAAGTAGCTGGTATTACAGGCATGCACCACCACGCCTGGCTAATTTTGTATTTTTTTAGAGATAGGGTTTCACCATTTCATTCAGGCTGGTTTCAATGCCTGCCTTGGCCTCCCAAAATGCTGAGATTACAAATATGAGCCACTGCGCTCAGCCTAGACTGGTAAATTCTTAATGACGAATGTGTTAACAAAAGAAAACATGTCAATTTTCTGTTGTCAAGATTAAGATAAGTGAATTTTTTTATTTATTTGAATTCATAAGCTTCTTATATAAGCTCTTGATTCAAATTTTTTTTTTACAAAAGATTATTTGAGCTACTTGGAATATCTGCTAAAAGAATTACTTGAGCACTTTTTTTTAAAAAAACTATCATTGGGCCGGGCGCGATGGCTCACGCCTGTAATCCCAGCACTTTGGGAGGCTGAGTCGGGTGGATCACAAGGTCAAGAGATCGAGACCATCCTGGTCAACATGGTGAAACCCCATCTCTACTAAAAATACAAAAAATTAACTGGGCATGGTGGCACATACCTGTAATCCCAGCCACTCAGGAGGCTGAGGCAGGAGAATTGCCTGAACCTAGGAGGCGAAGGTTGCGGTGAGCCAAGATCACGCCATTGCCAGCCTGGGTAACAAGAATGAAACTCCGTCTCAAAAAAAAAAAAAAAAACTATCATCTTTCTAGTTTATAATTCAATGAAGCTTTCTTTATACCTTCTTTGTTTTCATAAATGCCAACCAGGTAAAAATAACATTTAAAAATCTCACTTGTTAATGGCATTCACTATCATTTATATTTAAATTAGTGTTCGACTCTCATAACATAACTAGTTATTTTCCTTTAACATTAACTTTTCACTATGCTTTAATAAATGTCCCATTCCAACATTAAAATCTTGTTTTAAAAATTACAATGTAAATGCAGTTATAATTTTAAAATTTTACTTTAATAAACATAACCGTGAATCCCACTTTAAATGTCAAAAAGAAATGGGATAGTACATGATCTTTCCACTTTATTGTAACATCAAAAAAATCCCTGAGGATGTGTTCCAAAATAAATTTTACAATCCTCTACCAACAAACAATTTTGATGTTTGCTCCTTCCTTCCTCATAACTATGTAGGGATCAGCCTCAGTGAGGCAGGTGTAACAACTGAGCTTTCCTGTGAGCACTTCGCAAGCATGACAAAGACGATTATTTTTTCTTACCATCACTGGGACAATCTGGATGTCTAAATAAATAACCAACAAACAAGCAAGCATCGTTGGTAGATATTCTATTTTGTATTATTACATAGTCTTTATAACATATCCTATGCAAAGTTACATAATTTCTTTTATCATATTTGATATTATAAAAACTAATTTTGAAAATATTTTTATCAGCTATTATAGGTAAACGTATATGAGCTAAATCAATACCAATTGCCTCTTGATTATTACTAAATGCTTATGTGTCACGAAATGTGACAAACAGATATTCTTTCACAAAAGGGAAGACATACAATAATAAAACTATGACAATAAAACGAGGTGATTATCGGACCCTACATTATGTTTATCTTGTTCCAGGCACTACTAACTCATTTAGTACAGTAGAGTGTGAGTGTGACTGATCTGCTTTGAGCTACTCATAGTTGAAACAATATCTTTTTTTTGGGGGGGGCAGAGTTTCGCTCTTGTTACCCAGGCTGGAGTGCAATGGCGTGATCTCGGCTCACCACAACCTCTGCCTCCTGGGTTCAGGCAATTCTCCTGCCTCAGCCTCCTGAGTAGCTGGGATTACAGGCACATGTCACTGTGCCCAGCTAATTTTTTGTATTTTTTTTTTTAGTAGAGATGAGGTTTCACCATGTTGACCAGGATGGTCTCGATCTCTTGACCTCGTGATCCACCCGCCTTGGCCTTTCAAAGTGCTGGGATTACAGGCGTGAGCCACCGCGCCTGGCCCTGAAACAATATCTTATTCATCCTTTTATTCCAAGTTCCTCAAAAAAGTTATTGACTACTATATAAGCCTCAATAAATAAGTATTTTGGAATTGTAAATTTAATTGTCCCAAATAAGCAGTATACTTGATGTTTTTGCGTTGGTAACTGAATATCAATGACACTCATACATTTATTAAAATTGTTATAGTTGACTTTGACAATTAATTGCTATCCCTGATATTTATTGCAACATATTTTTGAAATAGTGACATAGACTAAAGAATTCTATAATATTGTTACATACCCAGTATACGTTTGTGGTTTTCTAAATCATTACATAAGGTTATTGATCTATATGTTCAGCTAACACATAGCTAAATTATAAATGTAAAGATTGAGAGTAAATATGTCTCTTTAAAACTGCTGTAGTTTTGACCCTATTCATGAGTGCTTTATTATGCACTTTATAAGCATGAAAATGTTACCATTTTTATTTTAAGTTTGAAGATCACTTTCTGTATTCAATTCTGAGCTTGGAAATTGTGTTTAGATGTTTGAACACTTAATTGATCATGCTACATTTGTTTGATCATGGTTTTTTACTGCTCGGTTGGTGATACTTTTTTGGAAAGTATGAAATGGATTTGCTGCTTAGGAGTGAATAACTTTTTAAAACAGGTTTTCAGGAATCTTCCAGGAAGAAAAGCACATGCTTGATCCTTATTATTATTACTTTTAACACAGTTAGAAACCCAGGAAGTAATCAAAAAGCAAGACTTAAACTGAATTTAAAACATGAACTCCTATTTGACATTGCAGTATTTGCAAAGATGTTTTAGCTATTGCATCAGTAAAACCAATACTCATTTATTTCTTAAGGTGAAGTATTTTTTTATTAAGATAGCTTTGTGTAAAACTTCAGTTTGTCAAATTTTCTGAGCATGTGCCAAATGCCAATAACAATGTAAAAAAAATTAGGAGTAAGGGAAATATGGTTTTTGAGAAATGTTGGATGAAATAAATAAAATAGTATTTTTAGTGTTCTTCATGGATAAAATAAGGGGACACAAGCAAAACCTAACATTCTGCCCCTGGTGACTCCCAAATCTCATGTCTTCACATTTCAAAACCAATCATGCCTTCCCAATAGTCCCTCCAAGTCTTAACTCATTTCAGCATTAACTCAAAAGTCCACAGTTCAAGGTCTCATTTGAGACAAGGCAAGTCTTTTCTGCCTATAAGCCTATAAAATCTAAAGCAAGATAATTACTTCCTAGATACAATTGGGGTACAGGCATTCAGTAAATACAGGCATTCCAAATGGGAGACATTGGGCAAAACAAAGGGGTTACAGGCCCCATCCAAGTCTGAAATCCAGCAGGTCAGTCAAATTGCAAAGCTCCAAAATTATCTCCTTTGACTCTGTGTCATATCTGGAAGAGATGAGTTCTCATGATCTTTGGCAGTTCCATCCTTGTGGCTTTGCAGGGTACAGCCTCCTTCTCAGCTGCTTTTATGGACTGGCATTGAGTGTCTGTGGCTTTTCCAGGTGCATATTATAAACTGTCACTGGATCTACCATTCTGGAGTCTGGAGGACAGTGGCCCTCTTCTCACAGCTCCACTCAGCAATGCTCTAGTAGGGACTCTGGGTGGGGACTCTGACTCCACAGTTCCCTACTGCACTGCCCTAGCAGAGGTTCTTCATGAGAGCCCTGCCCCCTGGGGGGGCTCTGCCTGGACATTCAGGTGTTTCTATCTATCCTCTGAAATCTAGGCAGAGGTTCCCAAACCCCACTTCTTGACTTTGGTGCCCTGGCAGGCTCAGCACCATATGGAAGCTGCTAAGGCTTGAGGCTTGCCCCCTCTGAAGCCACAGCCTGAGCTGTACATTTGCCACTTTCAACCACAGCTGGAGTGGCTGAGATAAAGGGAACCAATTCCCTAGGCTACAAACAGCAGAGGAGCTGCTGGGCCTGGTCCACAAAACCCCTTTTTCCTCCTAGGCCTCTAGGCCTGTGATGGGAAGAGCTGCTGTGAAGGCCTCTGACAGGCCCTGGGGACGTTTTCCTCATTGTCTTTGGGATTAATATTTGGCTTATTACTTATGCAAATTTCTGCAGCAGGCTTGAATTTCTTCTCAGAAAATGGGATTTTCTTTTTATCATATTGCCAGGCTGCAAATTTTCCAAGCTTTTATGCTCTGTTTCCCTTATAAAACCAAATGCCTTTAACAGCATCCAAGTTATCTCTCGAATGCTTTGATCCTTAGAAATTTTTTCTGCCAGATATGCTAAATCATCTCTCTCAAGTTCAAACTTCCACAAATCTGTAGTGCAGGGGAAGAATGCTGCTAGTCTCTTTGCTAAAGTAAGAGTCACCTTTTCCTGTTACCAAGAAGTTCCTCATCTCCACTTGAGATGACCTCAGCCTGGCTTTTATTGTGCACATAATTATATACCCATTCAACAAGTCTCTAGGAAGTTCCACAAAATACAATTTCAACAGTTTGATCCACTAGAGGTCTGGAGCTCCAGGCCAGCCTGGACATTATGGTGAAATCCTGCCTCTACTACAATTTCAAAAATTAGCCAGGCATGGTGGCGGGTGCCCGTAATACCAGCTACTCAAAAGGTTGAGCTCGAATGGTCACTTGAATCTGGGAGGCTGAGGTTGCAGTGAACCAGCATCATGCCATTGCACTCCCTCCTAGGGGCCAGAGTGAGACTCCAACTCAAAAAAAAAAAAAAACCCAAAGCTCAAATTAAGCAGTTTATTCCCTTCTTCCTGATTTCCCATCATGCCTACATTAAAAGATAAACTGCTTAACTTTCCCCACCTCCACAAGGCCCACAGGCCCTGCCCAACCCGTCATCCTTCCCTGCTCCCTCTCTCTCACTCCTCACTCTGCTCAAGCCACACGGACCTCCTTGCTGTTCCTCCAACATGCCACACACACTCCTACCCCAGGGCCTTTGCAGGGGCTATGCCCTCTGTCTGGAAAGTGCTTACCCCCCAATACCATCCTTCTCACACTGGTTACACCTTTCCATTAAGATCCTGGCCCAGGTTGGGCATTGTGGCCCATGTTTATAATCCCAGCAATTTTGCAGGCTGAGGTAGGAGGATCACATGAGCCCAGAAGTGTTTGCTTTTGTTTTGCTTTTTGTTTTGTTTGAGACAGAATCTTGCTCTGTCACCCAGGCAGGAGTGCAGTGGGTGATTTCAGCCAACTGAAACCTTCAGCTTCCAGGTTCAAGCAATTCTGCTGCCTCAGCCTTCTGAGTAGCTGGGACTACCGGTGCCTGCCACCATGCCCAGTTTTGTTGTTGTTGTTCTTGTTTTGTTTTCAGACAGAGTTTTACTCTCATTGCCCAGGTTTGAGTTCAGTGGCAGGATCTTGGCTCACTGCAACCTCTGCCTCCCAGGTTCAAGTGAACCTGCTGCCTCAGCCTTCCAAATTGCTGGGATTACAGGCATGGGCCACCATGCCCAGCTACTTTTGTATATTTAGTAGAAAATGGATTTCTCCAACTCGGTCAGTCTAGTCTCGAACTCCAAACCTGAGTTGATCGACTTGCCTCGGCCTCCCAAAGTGCTGGGATTACAGGCATGAGCCACCAACCGTGACAAATATCTTTTTATTAAAATGTAAATTGGAGAATGAGGCAGGTCGATCCACTAGAGGTCTGTAGTTCCAGGCCAGCCTCACCATTATGGTGAAACTCTGTCTCTACTACAGTTACAAAAATTAGCCAGGCATGGTGGTGGGTGCCTGTAATACCAGCTACTCAGGAGACTGAGCCACAAGACTCACTTGAGTCTGGGAGGCAGAGGTTGCAGTGAGCTGAGATCATGCCACTGCACTCCCACCTGGGTTGCAGAGTGAGACCCCATCTCAAAAAAAAACCCAAAAACTCAAATTGGACTTTTTATTTCCTGCTTCCTGATTTCCAATAACACTTACATTAAAAGATAAACTGCTTAACATCCCCTATCTCCCCAAGGCCTGCAGGAGCTGCCCAACCCGTCCTCCTTACCTCCTCCCTCTCTCCCACTCCTTACTCTCCTCAAGTCACAGGGACCTCCTCGCTGTTCCTGCAACCCGCCAGAAACAGTCCTGCCCCAGGGACTTTGCATAGGCTGTGCCCTCTGTCTGGAAAGGGCTTACCCCCTAATACTTTCCTTCTCACACTGGTTACCCCTCTGTATTGAGATCTGGTCCAAGGCTGGGCATGGAGGTATGGGCTTATAACCCCAGCAATTTCACAGGCTGATGTAAGAAGATCACATGAGCCCAGAATTGTTTTGTTTTGTTTTGTTTGAGACAGAATCTCGCTCTGTCACCCAGGCAGGAGTGAAGTGGGTGATTTCAGCTAACTGAAACCTCCACTTTCCAGGTTCAAATGATTCTCCTGCCTCAGCCTTCTGAGTAGCTGGGACTACAGGTGCCTGCCACATGCCCATGATTTTTTTTTTAAGACAGTGTTTTACTCTTGTTGCCCAGTTTGGAGTTCAGTGGCATGATCTCTGCTTACTGCGACCTTCGCTTTACAGGTTCAAGTGATTATCCTGCCTCACCCTCCCAAATGGCTGGGATTACAGGCATGGGCCACCATGCCCAGCTAATTTTGTATATTTAATAGTAATGGGATTTCTCCATCTTGGTCAGGCTGGTCTTGAACTCTCAACCTCAGGTGATCCACCTGTCTCGGCCTCCCAAAATGCTGGGATTACAGGTGTGAGCCACCAACCCTGACCAATATCTTTTCATTAAAACATAAATTGGAGGCAGAGGCAGGTAGATCCACTTGAGGTCAGGAGTTCCAGACCAGCCTGGCCATCATGGTGAAACCTTTTCTCTACTACAATTACAAAAGTTAGCCGGGCATGGTGGTGGGTGCCAAAAATACCAGCTACTCAGGAGGCTGAGCCACAAGATTCACTTGAATCTGGGAGTTGGAGGTTGCAGTAAGCCGAGATCACGCCTCTGCACTCCCACCTGGGTGACAGAGTGAGACTCCTCTCAAAACAAAAAAAAAAAACACAAAAAACTTAAATTGGATTGTTTCTTCCCTGCTTCCTTATTTCCCATCACACTTACATTAAAAGATAAACTGCTTGACTTCCCTCCCCTCCCCAAGGCCTGCAGGGCCCTGCCCAACAGGTCCTCCTTCCCTCCTCCCTCTCTCCCCCTCCTCACTCTGCTCTAGCCACAGTGACCTCCTTGCTGTTCCTCCAAGAGCTGAACATTTTGTGGCTCCATGAGCTCACTGCCCCACTTAGACCTGAGCCACCCACCAAGGGGCCCTGCCTTGGTCTGGAAGCCCAGGAACCCCTGCAGACGCACACAGATACACACACACACACACACACACACACACACACACACACGAAGAAAGCAAGACATGCAGAGACATCCAACAGTCCAGGCAGCTCCTGAGGCTGCAGGGTTCTGCTCTCTCCCGGCAAGCCCCTAGGGGAGAGAGCAGCCCCGGGGCACACAGGCTGGCGGTACCTGGAAATCCCAGCAGGAACAGCTTTCAAGGAGACACACCCCCCACAGCGTCTGAGCAGGCCTGAAGCATCGTGGGGATCCTTGGGGATCGCCCTGGGCATCCCTGAAGCTCCGCTGCAGCTTTTCTCAGCCTGGACCCGCCCTGCCCAACTCCTGAAATCGCGGGACCCTGGCGACGATCTCGGAGAGAGGGGGACCAGCGCCCAACGCCCAGGAACTGCCAAGGAGGGTTGCTGCTGTGCCAAGCCGCTAAGACGGCGGTTTTCCAGGTCATAGGGGCTGTCACTGTGACGCGAGCCCCGGGTGTGCGCTTGCGCATGCGCATTGGCCTGTCCGGCTGGCCAGCGGCAACGTGGGCGCTCTGTGGTGGGGGGTCCCCAGAGGCACTGGGAAATGCTGGCGGCGGTGTCCAAGGCGGCCCCAGGGAAGGAGGCTGCCTGCCACGAGCTAAGCAGGAGCCCGACCGTCCTGACCTCAGTGGCTCCCTGAGCCAACTTTCCTGTTCAGGTCGGCTGGATGGGGAGGGCGCTTGAGACCGTGAGGTGGGCACCCGGGTCTGCTCTGTCCACTGCATTCCGGATCGGACGGCCGGGGCAGGGATCGGGTCCTTCGGGGCTAAAGATTCAGTCTGGTGAGGAGTGGCAGGGCTTGGTGGACCCCAGAAAGATGCCTGAGACTCTCCAGGAGCGTGTCAGCAGAACGTTGCCCGGCTCCATGAGCTCACTGCCCCGCTTCGACCTGGGCCACCCACCAAAGGGCCCTGCCTTGGTCTCCAAGCCCAGGGACCCCTGCTTCTCAGCGCTGCTCTTCGGAGAAGGTGTGAACAAAGAAAGCGGCAAGTGCAGCCAGCGGCAGAGGCTGCCACACCCGCAACTGGCCTTTTTTGGGGGCGGATCTGGTGGAGAGAGCATCTTAGAAGCTTTCTGGGGCGAAGCCCAATCCCGAGACCTATGTCCAGGCATGTCGCCGAGGACCCCAACGGAAGCCAAGCACAACATGCTAACTGATCTTAGTCACTTTATTGTTTTCACAGAAAACACCATCATCTTGCTACAAAGTGTTTCCCTCAAATTGCTTTGACGGTCTGTACACGGAGACCCGTTGTCAACTTGTCCTGTTCAGGAAAAAACAATTGCCGGTGTTAAAAATGCTGATTCTCACTCTTATGGACACCTAAGACCAGAGTTCAACCGTGTGTGGGAGGTTAATCAGTGGATGAAATCTGTTTCTGAAAGTCTCTTCTCACTAAATCATAGTTTAAGGAAGGTCCGACCCTGCCATTTGGTTTTCCATTTTTCCTGTGATGAGCAAATCCTAAACGTGGGACCTTCATTCCCTCCAGACAAGCTTTGAGCATCCAACTTGCCTGACGCGATTTTCATTGTCTCCAGTTCCCTTGCAAGTTGCACATTCAGTTCTTCAGCCTTGGGAATGTGCAACATTTCGAGTAGACACTTAGCAGATGTCAGTGCTTGTGGGTCATGATATGGTCTGGATTTTTTTTTTTACTATATCCCGGAAAACCAGAGGAAGAAAACAAAGTTTCACTATTAAGGGAGAAAAACATGAAGTTGGAAGAAGTTATGAACCTTTTTACAGCTTTACCTTTGAGAAATTTTCTTTCTTAAAGTTGTTTCCCTCATAAACTTATCCTGTTTTCTTTTATTAGCCCTTGTAGAGTAGGAAAGAGTTACTAGAGAGAGAAGACAAATATGGTCTGTATTGCAAAAGAAGCCCCAGACTCAAGACTGGAGAACTCAATGTGCAACCTGCAAGGGAACTGGACACAATAAAAATCATGTCAGGTAAGTTGAATGCTAAAAGCTTGTCTGAAGGGGATAAAGGTTCCATGTTTATGATTTGGTCATCACAGCAAAAATGTAAACCTAAATGGCAGGGTAGGACTTTTCTTAAAATATGATCTAGTGGAAACAGTCCTTCAGAAACAGATTTCATCCACTGATTAACCTCCCACACACGGTTGCACTCTAGACATAGGCTTCCATAAGAGTGAGAATCTGGCCAGGCTCAGTGGCTCATGCCTGTAATCCCAGCCCTTTGGGAGGCCGAGGCAGGTGGGTCACAAGGTCAAGAGATTGAGACCATCCTGGTCAACATGGTGAAACCCTGTCTCTACTAAAAATACAAAAAAAAAAATTAGCTGGGCATGGTGGTGCATGCCTGTAATCCCAGCTACTCAGGAGGCTGAGGCAGGAGAATTGCCTGAACCCAGGAGGCAGAGTTTGCAGTGAGCCAAGATTGCGCCATTGCCCTCCAGCCTGGGTAACAAGAGTGAAACTCTGTCCCAAAAAAAAAGACTGAGGATCTGCATTTTTAACACCAGGAATTATTTTTCTCTCAACAGGACAAGTTAACAATGGGTCTCTGTGTACAGGCCATCAAAGCAATTTGATGCAAACACTTTGTAGCAAGATGATGATGTTTTCTGTCAAAACAGTAAAGTGATTAAGCTCCATTAGCATGTTGTGCTTGGCTTTTTGGGGGGTCCTCAGCGACATGCCTGGACATGCGTCTCGGGCTTGGCTTGGCCCCAAAAAGCTTATCAGACGCTCTCTCCACCTTATCTTCCACCAGGGGTGGCCAGTTCCAGGTATTGCTGCCTCTGCGCTGGCTGCGCTTGCCACTTTGTCTTTCTTCAAACCTTCTCCAGACAGCAGTGCTGAGAAGCAGGGATCTCTGGGCTTGGAGACCAAGGTAAAGCCCCTTTGTGGGTGGCCAAGTTTGAAGGAGGGCAGTGAGCTTATGGAGCCGGGGAACGTTCTGCCTATACCCTCCTGGAGGGTCTCAGGCATGTTTTTGGGGTCCAGTGACCCCCGCCCGCCACACCTCACCAAACTGAATCTCCAGCCCGGTGGGACCCAATCCCTTTCCACACCATCTGATCTGGAATCCCCTGGGAAGAGGAGTCTGGAATACCCACCTCGCGATCTGAAGAGCCCTTCTCCTCCAGCCTACCCGAACAGGAAAGTCCACTCAGGGAGCCACTGAAGTCAGGACCCTTGGGCTCCTGTGCTGCTTGTGGCACACAGCCTCCTTCCACGGGGACTTCTCAGATACCACCTCCAGCATTTTCCTTTACCTCAGCGGCCGGCGGGAGGGCCCTAACATTGCGTTAGGCCAGCCGAGACATGCCAATGCACATGCGCAAGTGGCGTGTGACAACCGCGAGCGACCACCCATGTCTCGCATCACAGTGATCATCCTTGTTATCTGGGGAACCGCCGTCAGAGTGGCTTGGCAAATCAGGGGCCCTCCATGGCAGTCCCTCAGTGTTGGGCAGCGGCCCCATGTCTTTCGGGGATCATCGCCACGAACCCACGATTTCAATAGTCGGGCTGGTTGAAACCAGGCAGAGAAAAGCTGCAGCGGAGCTTCAGAGATGCCCAGGGTGATCCCCAAGGATCCCCACGATGCTTCAGGTCTACCCAGATGCTGTAGGCGTGCATATCCTTGAAAGGTGTCCCTGCTGGGATTTCTAGGTACCGCCAGCATGTATGTCTCGGGGCTGCTCTATCCGCCAGGGCTTCCCTGCACAGAGCAGAACCCCACAGCATCAGGAGCTGCAACTGTTGGATGTCTCCCTGTGTTTTCTTTTCTGTGTGTGTGTGTGTGTGTGTTTGTCTACATTTCTGTGTGTGTTCATTTCAGTGTGGCTAGTGCCCTCCAGCACGGTATCTCTGTAGTCCCTTTATCTTCTGCTGTGTGTCTCTCTTTGGCTAAGCTTAGGGGCTTTGGGGGTCCACCTTCTTTGTGTTGCTCCTGGTTTCTAAGGCCTCAGTGCGCTGGGGAACTGGTCCCCCACAGGCAAGCCTACTAATCACTGTAGATCTTGAAGTGGTCACTCCTCCAGAAAGAAGACAAGCACAGCACACACAAAACCAAACTTTCCATGGGCCCTTGGTCCTGCGGCACATGCAGGGCAAGTACTGCCTTCAAGACCCCTTTAAGGACTACAATGGTGTGTAGTTGACCTACCTAAGATTCTTGTTAAAACACTGGATTGTGATTGTCATTCCTGTGTCAGAGTGAGTCTGAGATTGTGTATTTGGAGTAGGCCGTCAGGGGATGACATTGTTTTGGGTCAGGAGCAAGTCTCTGTATTGTTCTTTGGAAGAATGAATTGCAGATGTAGGGTCTGCATTTAAAAACCTCTTCTGGATATACTCATAAATTTTCTTCCTAATTTCTTTTGGAAGATAATTCAAACACACTGATTGGCAACATAGAGGGAAACACAGGGACACTTTTTAAATTGCATTTTTTGAATGACTCATTTAGCTATTTGCTTACCTAGAGACAGATTAAATGGTTTGCAAGTAGCCATGGGATGACGTCACAACGGGCTTGGGAGCACGAAGATTTGAAATCACGGTAAAGTAAGGAAACATTAATAGATTTATAGTATCATGTCATTCTGTTGAGAATGATTTGGAACCTACGCTAGCTTGGGAGTGATCCTTGATCTCAGCTGTCTGAGTAATTCTGGGGAGCAGTGCCCGCTTTCTCTTCCAGTGTCTAAGAAACAGTGGTCTGCATGTGGGAACCGCAACATCTACACAGAGGCTGTGCTGTGATTGGTGGAGATTTCTAACAGATTGGCTGCAAATACACAGGTATGTACATTTCCTTTAATCATCTGTATGCCTTCCTTGAAATGGCAAATGGGATGTGAATTTTAGCTGAACTCTTTAAAAGGATGTTTTCTATGGCATACTGACTGGTTTTACCTAAACTAGGACTTAGGAGCTGTGAGACCTTTTCTTTCTGCTCTGTTTTTGCTGCTGAAAACTCATCTCTTCCCATAAAGATGAATGCACCTGCCTACATTTGCACAAACAATGTGTGTACGACCATCCCAGTTTAAGCATTTCAGCTACACAAGTCACACCTGACAAGTTAGGAAACCTGACACACTCTGATTAAATCCTAATCACGGACATTTAGGAAAGTATATATAAACTACATTTAATTTGTTACTTTTTATTTCCTATGGCATCAATGGTCACAAAATATAGTGGTCCAATAAAGTGTTAATGAGAAATAGATCATTTTTCTAGAGCCTAACTTAAGGAAACATGTTTGACAGAGGAAACTTATTTTTATCCTTAGTAACACATTCGGTATGGTCTGCAATTTTGTTGTTGTTGTGGTTCTTGTCATTTTTGTTGTTCTTTTCCCAGAGAAGCAGAGAAAGAAAAGAAACCTTCCTTCCTGAGGGAGGAAAACATGAGGTTGGAAGAACTTATGCACCTTTCCACAGCCTGACCTTTGAGCAGTTTTCATTCTTCAGATTGTTTCCCTCATATCCTTATCCTGTTTTCTTCTATTTCCAGCCATTGTATGGCAAGAAAGAGTTCCTAGAGAAAGAAGACAAAGACGGTCTGTGTTGCAGAAGAAGCCGCAGGCTCAAGACTGGAGAACTGAACGTGCTACCCGCAAGGGAACTGGAGACAATGAAAATCATGTCAGGTAAGTCGGATGCTAAAAGCTTGTCTGGAGGGGATGAAGTTTCCATGTTTAAGATTTTCTCATCACAGGAAAAACAGAAAACCAAATGGCAGAGTAAGACCTTTCTTCAACTATGATTAAGTAAAAAGAGTCACTCAGAAACAGATTTCATCCACTGATTAACCACAAACACACACACGGTTACACTCTAGACTTAGGTATCCATAAAAGTCAGAATCTGCACTTTTAACACCGGGAATAGTTTTTTTCTCAACAAGACAAGTTGACAACGGGTCTCCGTGTACAGGCCGTCAAAGCAATTTGAGGGAAACACTTTGTAGCAAGATGATGATGCTTTCCGTAGAAACAATAAAGTGACTAAGATCAGTTAGCATGCTGTGCTTGGCTTTCATGGGAGTCCTCAGTGGCATGCCTGGACATCCGTCTCGGGATTTGGCTTCACCCCAGAAAGCTTCTGAGAAGCTGTCTCCACGAACTCTGCCCCCAGGGGAGGCCGGTTGCAGCTGTTGCCTCCTCTGCTGCAGGCTGCGCTCGCCACCGCTCTGTCGTTCTTCCTCCCCTTCTCTGGACCGCAGTGAGGAGAAGCACAAGTCCCTGGGCTTGGAGGGCAAGGGAGGGCCCCTTGGTGGGTGGCCCAGGTCGAAGGGGAGGAAGTGAGCTCAGGGAGCTGCGGAACGTTCCCCAGCACCCTCCCAAAGGGTCTCCGGTCTCTTCCTGGGGTCCAGCGACCCCTGCCACAACTCACCAGACTGAATCTCCAGCCCGGTGGGACCCGATCCCTGCCCAGGCCGTCGGATCCGGAATCTCCTGGAGAGAGCAGTCCCGAATGCCCACCTGGAGTGGAGGTCTGAAGCGCCCTCCCCCTTCAGCGGACCGGAAAAGGAAAGTCGGTTCAGGGCGCCAGTGGAGTCATGACAGATGGGCTCCTGCACTGCTAGTGGCACGCAGGCTCCCCCTCAGGGGCCGCCTCGGACATCGCCGCCAGCATTTTCCCGCGCCGCTGCGGCCGGCCGGTGGGGGAGCGCGGACATTGCGGCTGACCAACCGGGCACGCCAATGCGCATGCGCAAGCGGCGTGTCACAAGCGCGAACGCCCACCCGGGGATCGCGTCACAGTGACCACCCCCGTGGCCAGGGGAACCGACGTCTCAGCAGCTTGGCAAGGCACGGACCCTCCGTGGCAGTGGCTCGGCGTTGGTCGAAGGCCCCCAGCTCTCCCGGGGATGATTGCCAGGGTCCAGTGATTTCAGTCGTCGGGCAGGGCGGAGCCAGGCGGAAAAAAGCTGCAGCGGAGCTTCAGGGATGATCAGGGCGATCCCCAGGGATTCCCCCGCCACCCCGATGCTTCAGGCTTGCTCAGACGTCGTGGGTGGGTAGGGGGGGACGGTGTACGTCACCTTGAAAGCTGACCCTGCTGGGATTTCCAGGTACCAGTAGCCTGTGTGCCACGGCGCTACTCTCTCCCCGAGGGGCTTCCCGGCAGAGAACAGGACCCTGCAGCCTCAGGAGCTGCCTGCGAATGTCGGATGTCTCCACTTGTCTTTCTGTTTGTGTGTATGTGTGTGTCTGTGTGTGAGTATATGTCTGTGTGTGTCTGTATACGTGTGTCCGTGTGTATCTTTCTTCACGTTGACATTTGTGTGGGCGAGCCGTGTATGCTGGACGTTAAGTGTGGCCAGTGCACCACAGCGTGGTTTCTCTGCAGTCTGTCTTCCTGCTGGTGCATGTGCGTCCTCGGCTAGCTTCGGGGCTGTGGGCCCCGCCTTCTGTGTGGTGCTCCTGGTTTCTGAAGCCTTAGGGTAGTGGAGGTCTGGCTCCCACCCGCAGGCCTATTAATCACCTGACCATCCCGAGGGGCGTCACTCCTGCAGAAAGAAGACCAGCATAGCAAGCCGAAATCCAAATTCTTCCATGGGCCCTTGGTCCTGCGGTACCTGTAGGGGTGGCATTGTCCTCATGACCCCTTCAGGGACTACACTGTTGGTAGGGATCCTCCTGAGGATTCTTGTCAAGAAAACAGATTGTCATTCTAGTGTCAGAGTGAGCCTGAGATTCTGTATTTCGAGTAGGTCCTCAGGGGACGCCAGTGCTTATGGGTCGTGATTGGTATTTCCAGGAGCAAGTGTCACTGCTGTTTTCTGGAAGTCATTATTCAAGATGTAGGGTCTGCATTTAAAGGCCTCTTCTGGATATGGCCTTCACTTTTCTTCCTAAGTTCCTTGGGAAAATAATTCCAACACACTGATTGGCAAGACAGATGGAAACAGAGAGGTAGTTCCTGAATTGTCTTTTCTCACATGACTCATTTAGTGGACTCTTTGCTTATGTAGGGATAGACAAAATGGTCTGCAGTTAGCCATGGATGAAATCACTGTGGGCTTGGTATCAGGAAGAACTGAAATGACAATAAGGTAAGAAAACATTAATAGACATATAGTATCCTGTCATTGTGTTGAGACCCATTTAGTACCTACCCTAGCTTGGGAATGATCCTTGATCTCAGCTGTCCAAGTAATTCTGGGGAGCAGTCCCCGCTTTCTCTTCCAGTCTCTGATGAACAGCGGTCTGCATGTGTGCATGGCAACATCTACACAGAGGCTCTGCTGTTATTTGTGAAGACTGTTATCAGATTGGTTGCAAAATACTCAGGTACTTACGGTTCCTTTAAACATCTGTATGCCTTCTTTGAAGTGGTCAATGCAGTCTGAACTATACGACAAGAATTTTAGCTGAATTACTTTACAAGGATCCTTTCTATGCCATTCTAAGTGCTGTTACCATAACTGGGACTAAGGAGCTGTGACACCTTTTTTTCCTTCTGCTCTTCTCCTGCTGCTAAAGAATTCTCTCTTTCCTGCCTACCTGTGGGTAAACAACGTGCAGGACGATCTCAGGCCAAGCACTCCACCTATAGAAGAAGCCACACCTGACAAGTTAGGAAAGCTGACAGGCTCTGAGTCAATCCTAATCACGGACACTTATGAAGGTACATATAAAGTACATTGAATTTGTTACTTTTCGTTTCCCATGGAATCAATGGTCCCGAAATGTAGTGGTCCCATGAAGTATGAATGAGACATAGATAATTTTTCAGGAGCCTAACTTAAGTCACCATGTTTCACGCAGGAAACTTCCTTTTACCTTAAGCAAAGACTGCATATGGTCTGGAGTTTGGCTCTTGTTGTTGCTGTTGTTGTTGTTGTTCTCGTTTCCCCAGAGATCTAGAGGAGGAAAACAGAGCTTCGTTCCTGAGAGAGGAAAACCTGAGGTTGGAAGAAGTTACGCACCTTTCCACAGCCTTACCTTTGAGAAGTTTTCCTTCTGAAAATTGTTTCCCTTATATCCTTGACGTGTTTTCTTTTATCAGCCCTTGTGTGGCAGGAAGGAGTTTCTAGAGAGAGGAGACAGAGAAGGTCTGCATTGCAAAAGAAGAACCAGGCTGAAGACTGGAGATCTGAATGTGCAACTTGCAAAAGAACTGGAGACCACGAAACTCCTGTCAGGTAAGTTGGATGCTAAAAGCTCCTGTGGAGGGGATGAGGGTTCCGTCTGTACGATTTGCTCATCACAGCACACATGTCAAACCAAATGGCAGGGTAGGACCTTCCTTAAAATAGGACTTAATGCAAACCGCCCTTCAGAAGCAGATTTCATCCACTGATTAACCACCCACACACGGTTCCACTCTGGACTTAGGTTTCCCTAAGAGTGAAAATCTGCATTTCTAACACCGGGAATTAGTTTTCTCTCGACAGGACAGGTTGTCCGTCGGTCTCCGTGCATAGGCCATCGGAGCAATTTGATGGAAACACTTGGTAGCAAGATGAGGATGTTTTCTGTCAAAAAAATAAAGTGACTGAGATCCGTTAGCGTGTTGTGCTTGGCTTTCGTGGGAGTCCTCAGTGGCATGCCTGGACATCCGTCTCGGGATTTGGCTTCGCCCCGCCCCAGAAAGCTTCTGAGAAGCTGTCTCCACCCGATCTGCCCCCAGGGGAGGCCGGATGCAGCTGTTGCCTCCTCTGCTGCAGGCTGCGCTCGCCACCGCTTTGTTTGTCTTTCTTCCTCGCCTTCTCTGGACCGCAGTGAGGAGAAGCACGGGTCCCTGGACTTGGAGGGCAAGGTAGGGCCCCTTGGTGGGTGGCCCAGGTGGAAGGGGAGGCAGTGAGCTCAGGGAGCTGCGGAACGTTCGCCGGCACCCTCCCGGAGGGTCTCCGGTAGCTTTGTGGGGTCCAGCGACCCCCGCCACAACTCACCAGACTGAATCTCCAGCCCGGTGGGACCCGATCCCTGCCCAGGCCGTCGGATCCGGAATCTCCTGGGGAGAGCAGTCCCGAATGCCCACCTGGAGTGGAGGTCTGAAGCGCCCTCCCTCTTCAGCGGACCGGAAAAGGAAAGTCGGTTTAGGGAGCCAGTGGAGTCACGACGGTTGGGCTCCTGCACTGCCAGTGGCACGCAGGCTCCCTCCCAGGGGCCGCCTCGGACAACGCCGACAGCATTTTCCCGCGCCGCTGCTGCCGGCCGGTGGGGGAGCGCGGACATTGCGACTGGACAGCCGCGCACGCCGATGCACATGCGCATGCGCAAGCGGCGTGTCACAAGCGCGAGCGGCCACCCGGGCATCGCGTCACAATGACCGCCCCGTGGCCAGGGGAACCGGCGTCTCAGCGGCTTGGTAAGGCACGGGCCCTCCGTGGCAGTGGCCCGGCGTTGGGCGAAGGCCCCCGCTCTCCCGGGCATGATCGCCACAGTCCAGCGATTTCAGTCGTCGGGCAGGGCGGAGCCAGGCGGAGAAAAGCTGCAGTGGAGTTTCAGGGATGCCCAGGGCGATCTGCAGGGATCCCCCGCGATGCTTCAGGCCTGCTCAGACGTCGTGGGGGGTTCATCTTCTTGAAAGCTGTCCCTGCTGGGATTTCCAGGTACCTGCAGCCTGTGTGCCGCGGTGCTGCTCTCTCCCTGAGGGGCTTCCAGGCAGAAAGCAGAACCCCGCAGCCTCTAGAGCCGCCTGCGGGTGTTGGATGTCTCTGTGTTTCTTGTTTCCTGCGTGTGTTTGTGTGTGTGTGTGTGTACCTGTGTGCGTCTGCAGGGGTCCCTGGGCTTCCAGACCAAGGCAGGCCTTCTTGGTGGGTGGCCCAGGTCGAAGCCCAGGAATGTTCATCTGTTGGAGGAACAGCAAGGAGGTCCCTGTGGCTGGAACAGTGTGAGGAGGGGGAGAGAGGGAGGAAGAAAGGAAGAAGGGTTAGGCAGGGCCTGAGGGCCTTCAGGAGGTGGGGGAAGTTAAGCAGTTTATCTTATAAGGTAAGTGTGTTGGTAAATCAGGAAGCCGGGAAGAAACAATCCAATTTAAGTTTTTGGGGGTTTTTTTTTTTTTTTTTTTTTTTCAGAAGGAGTCTCACTCTGTCACCCAGGTGGGAGTTCAGTGGCTCCCACCTGAGTTCAGTTCAGATCTCGGCTCACTGCAACCTCTGCCTCGCAGTTTCAAGTTATTCTTGTGGCTCAGCCGAGTAGCTGGTATTATTGGCACCTGCCACCATGCCCAGCTAATTTTTGTAATTGTAGTAGTGACAGGGTTTCTCTATGATGGCCAGGCTGGTCTGGAACTTCTGACCTTACGTGGATCATCCTTTCTCTTCCTCCAATTTGTGTTTTAATGAAAAGGTATTGGTCGGGGTTGGTGGCTCACACCTGTAATCCCATCACTTTGGGAGGCCGAGGCAGGTGGATCAACTGAGGTTGGGAGTTTAAGACCAGCCTGAGCAAGATGGAGAATCCCATCTGTATTAAATATACAAAATTAGCTGGGCATTGTGGGGCATGCCTGTAGTCCCAGCCATTTGGGAGGCTGAGGCCAGAGAATCACTTGAACCTGGGAGGTGGAGGTTGCAGTGAGCCAAGATCGTGCCACTGAACTCCAAACTGGGCAACGAGAGTAAAACACTGTCTCAAAAAAAAAATCCTGGGCATGGTGGCAGATGCCTGTAGTCCCAGCTACTCAGAAGGCTGAGGCAGCAGAATCACTTGAACCTGAAAGGTGGACGATTCAGTGGGCTGAAATCACCCACTGCACTCCTGCCTGGATGACAGAGCAAGATTCTGTCTCAAACAAAACAAAAAGCAAAACAAAACCAAACACTTCTGGGATCATGTGATCCTCCTACCTCAGCCTGAAAAATAGCTAGGAATATAAGCAAGTGCCACCATGCCCAGCCTGGGCCAAGATCTTAATGGAAAGGTGTAACCAGTGTGACAAGGAAGGTATTGGGGGGTAAACAGTTTCCAGACAGAGGGCACAGCCCATGCAAAGGCCCTGGGGCCGGACTGTGCCTGGTGTATTGGAGGAACAGTGAGGAGGGCCCTGTGGTTGAGCAGAGTGAGGAGTGGGAGACAGGGAGGAGGGAAGGAGGATGAATTTGGCAGGGCCTGTGGGCCTTGGGGAGGTGGGGGCAGTTTAGCAGTTTATCTTTTAATGTAAGTGTGATTACATTAAAGACAGGAAGCAGGGAAGAAACAGTCCAATTTGAGTTCTTGGGGTTTTTTTTTTTTTTGAGATGGAGTCTCACTCTGTCACGCAGTTGGGAGTGCAGTGGCATGACCTGGGCTCACTGCAACCTCTGCCTCCCAGATTCAGGTGACTCTTGGGGCTCAGCCTCCTGAGTAGCTGGTATTATAGGCACCCGCCACCATGCCCGGCTGATTTTTGTAATATGAGTAGAGAGAGGGTTTCACCATAATGGCCAGGCTTCTCTGGAACTCCAGACCTCTAGTGGATCAACCTGCCTCAGCCTCCAATTTACGTTTTAATAAAAAGATATTGGTCTTGTTTGGTGGCTCACACCTGTAATCCCAGCAATTTGGGAGGCTGAGGCAGTTGGATCACCTGAGGACGGGAGTTCGAGACCAGCCTGATAAAGACGGAGAAATCCCATTTCTACTAAATATACAAAAGTAGCTGGGCATGGTGGTGCATGCCTGTAATCCCAGTCATTTCTGAGCCTAAGGCAGGAGAATTGCTTGAAGCTGAGAGGCGGATGTTGCAGTGAGCCAAGATCCTGCCACTGAACTCCAACCTGGGCAACAAGATTAAAGGTTGTCTGAAAACAAACAAACAAAAAAGAAAGAAATAAAAAAATCCTGGGCATGGTGGCAGGCACTTGTACTCCTAGCTACTCAGAAGGCCGAGGCAGCAGAATCACTTGAACCTGGAAGGTGGCGTTTTCAGTGGGCTGAAATCACCCACTGCACTCCTGCCTGGGTGACAGAGTAAGATTCTGTCTCAAATAAAACAAAACACTTCTGGGCTTATGTGATCTTCCTACCTCAGCCTGCGAAATTGCTGGGAATATAAGGAGGTGCCCCCATGCCCAACCTGGGCCAAGATCTTAATGGAAATGGGTAACTAGTGTGAGAAAGAAGGTATTGGGGGGTAAGCACTTTCCAGACAGAAGGCACAGCCCATGCAAAGGCCCGGGGGCAGGACCGTGTCTGGCCTGATGGAGGAACAGCGAGGTGGTCCTTGTGGCTTGAGTAGAGTGAGGAGTGGGAGAGAGAGAGGAGGGAAGGATGACAGGTTGGGCAGGGCCTGCAGGCCAGGAGTAGGTGGGGAAGTTAAGCAGTTTATCTTTTAATGTAAGTGTAATGGGAAATCAGGAAGCAGGGAGGAAATGGTCCAATATGAGTTTTCGAGGTTTTTTTTCTTTTTTGAGAGGGAGTCTCACTCTGTCACCCAGGTGGGAGTGCAGTGACATGACCTTGGCTCACTGCAACCTTCACCTCCCAAATTCAAGTGAGTCTTGGGGCTCAGCCTCCTGAGTTACTGGTATTACAGGCACCTGCCACCATGCCCGGCTAATTTTTTTAATATTAGTAGAGACAGGATTTCACCATAATGGCCAGGCTGGTCTGGAACTCCTGACCTTAAGAAGATCAACCTGCCTCAGCCTCCAATTTACATTTTAATAAAAAGATATTGGTCATGGTTGGTGGCTTACACCTGTAATCCCACCAGTTTGGGAGGCCAAGGCAGTTGGATCACGTGAGGATGGGAGTTCGAGACCAACTTGACCAAGATGGAGACATCCCATTTCCACTAAATATACAAAATGAGCAGTGCATGGTGGCGCATGCCTCTAATCCCATCCTTTTAGGAGGCTGAGGCACGAGAATCGCTTGAACCTGGGAGGCAGAGGTTGTAGTGAGTCAAGATCGTGCCACTGAACTCCAACCTGGGTAACAAGAGTAAAACTCTGACTCAAAAATAAAAAACAACGAAAAAAATAAAAACAAAAAAAAAACTCTGGGCATGGTGGCAGGCACCTGTAGTCCCAACTACTCAGAAGGCTGAGGCAGCAGAATCGCTTCAACCTGTACATTGTAGGCTTTCGTGGGCTGAAATCACCCACTGCACTCCTGCCTGGGCGACAGAGCAAGATTCTGTCTCACACAAAACAAAAAACAAAACAAAATCAAACACTTCTGCACTCATGTGATCCTCCTACCTCAGCCTGCAAAATTGTTGGGATTATAAGTATGTGCCATCATGCCCAGCATGGGCCAAGATCTTAATGGAAAGGGGTAAAAGTTTGAAAGGAATGTATTGGAAGGTAAACACTTTCCAGGCAGAGGACAGAGCTCGTGCAAAGGCCCTGGGGCAGGAGTGTGTCTGGCATGTTGGAGGAACAGCAAGAAGGTCTATGTGGCTGGAGCAGAGTGAGGATGGGAAGAGAGAGAGGAGGGAATGAGGACAGGTTGGGCAGGGCCCGCGGGCCTTGGGGAGGTGGGGGACGTTAAGCAGTTTATCTTTTAATGTAAGTGTGATGGGAAATCAGGAAGCAGGGAGGAAACAGTCCAATTTGAGTTTTTGGGTTCTTTTTTCTTTTTTGAGAGGGAGTCTCACTCTGTCACCCAGGTGGGAGTGCAGTGGCATAACCTCGGCTCACTGCAACCCCCGTCTCCCAGATTCAAGTGAGTCTTGGGGCTCAACCTCCTGAGTAGCTGGTATTACAGGCACCCGCCACCATGCCCAGCTAATTTTTTTAATATTAGTAGAGACAGGGTTTCACCATAATGGCCAGGCTGGTCTGGAACTCCTGACCTTAAGGGGATCAACCTGTGCCCGCCTCCAATTTACATTTTTAATAAAAAGATATTGGTTGTGGTTGGTGGCTCAAGCCTGTAATTCCAGCAGTTTGGGAGGCCGAGGCAGTTGGACCACATAAGGATGGGATTTCAAGACCAGCCTGACCAAGATGGAGACATCCCATTTCTACTAAATATACAAAATGAGCAGTGCATGGTGGCACATGCCTGTAATCCCAGCCTTTTAGGTGGCTGAGGCACGACAATCGCTTGAACCTAGGAGGTGGAGGTTGCAGTGAGCCAAGATCTTTCCACTGAACTCCAACCTCGGCAACAAGAGTAAAACTCTGACTCAAAAAATAAACAAAACAAAACCTGGGCATGGAGGCAGGCACCTGTAATCCCTATCCAGAAGACGGAAAAGCAGGTGCAACCTGAGCCCTGAGCCTGGAATCTGGCCTTATCTTGGAAAGGTCCAGGTAAGCAAAAGAAAGTGTTTTACCCTCAGGTAATGCAAATCCAGTCAGAACACAAAACTTTTGTATGGGCGTGGGGGAAACTAACAAATGGAATAAATAAAACCTTTAACAAAAATATATGGGGTAAAAAACTTTAAGAAATAGAAAAATGTTGGATTTTTTTTTGTTTTCTTCTTAAAAGAGGGT